CCGCGTGCGCCACATGGACACGGCGCACGGCGCGGCGGGGTACGGCTGCCTGCGGTGCGACAGGACGTTCTCGCGCTTCGACAGCCTGCAGCGCCACCGCCAGAACGCGCGGCTGGACTGCCACGGGCCGCTCACGGTCGCGGACAAGGCCGCGCACGCGGTCGGCGGCGCGGACTGGCTCGCGGACGTGTCCGGGCTCGTCGAGCCCGCGCAGGACGACCCGATTCGCGAGTCGTTCCGAGACGCGGGGCGGCTGAGAGAGGAGGACATGGCGCGGTTTGGGCTGGGGGTGGTTCGTGGCTAAGTACTTGTTGGGACCCGTGCAGGCGATTTGATCTGCCTTGTTGCTGTGCGCTGCCTCAAGGAATTTATTCACGCGCTGAACCACCAATCAGTAACAATTCAATAGAGTTAGACCTGTAGAGGCATGGGTTTCAAAACCTCGAGTTCGACCTGACTTGCTCAGGCCCAATCGGCGCCTGCTGCTCTTCGGGGATAAGTATGCCCGATGCCGGGGCCGCGCCAGGTCTCACCTTGACGCGATCTCGACGTTTCACTGGACACTCGATGCAGGAGGAAAATCTGTACGCGCGCGGTGTGTCGCCCACGCAGTTCTTCGGTGCGCTCGTCGTTAATTGTGTAGTTCCTTCAGGTAAACAGCCATTCCGTGGTGGCGGTAGGACTAGACGTGCGCCAATAAGATAAGTAAATAAAAAGCTAATCTTATGAAAGGAACGTGCAGAGTTTGGCGAAAGTACGAATGCTTGCCCCAGGGTAGGCCTAATTTCCGGCCGTCGGGCAAGGTTACAACTGGTTACGAGGAAGATACGTGCCTGTCCGGGCCGTTCGCACAAGACTGTGCTCGTTTCACCCTGACCGTCGCGACCAATCACAGCGACCACGAGCCATTGGCGCCACAGAGGCACACCGTCCTCATGATGTCTGCGCTCCTCGACGCGTTCGACCTCATCGCCGTCCCCGAGGCCCGAGAGGCCTCAGGGTTTTATAACGACCTGCCGTCGTGCACCATTCCCGTGTCCCCCCTTCTGTCCTTCCACCCAACGCGCTCAGCCTCCATCCACCAATAATGTCCCCGTCCTCACCCATCCGCCTCGGCGTCATCGGCCTCTCCGCCTCAGCGGGAGCCTGGGCGAACACGCTGATCGCGCCGCTGCTCCCTCCCGCGCCCCTCGCGTCCAAGTACAAACTGACCGCGCTGTGCACGCGCAGCGCCGAGTCCGCCGCCGCCGCGGCGGACAAGTTCACCAAGGCCGTCGGACACGCCGTCAAGGCGTACCACGGCCAGGACGGCTACGCGCAGATCGCGAACGACCCCGACGTCGACCTCGTCGTCGTCAGCATCAAGGTCAGTGAACACCGCGCGGCGACAATCCCCGCGATCGAGGCGGGCAAGAGGGTCTTTGTGGAGTGGCCCCTCGGGAAGAACATCGAAGAGGTGGAGGAGCTCGCGGAGCTTGCGAGGAGGAAGGGTGTACAGGGCATCATAGGGAACCAGATCAGGTCTAGTCCGGCGCTGCTGAAGGTGTGTGTGTGTGGCGTTATGCTTCGGTTTGGATCGGTTGGCTGGACAGTTCTTAGATCGCAGAGGTGCTCAAGTCGGGTGCACTGGGCAGGATCATCGGGACCAGTGTGATTGGATGCTGTCCCCCGAACCTTGGCTTTTGGGGACCTACCATCAACGAGCGCAACCTGTATGCAGCTGACGCCGACTGCGGTACGTTGTCCCTGCTGGGCACCGGTTCCTAAACTGTATTCACGAACAACAACCTCTAGGCGCATCCATGGTGGACATCAGCTTGGGCCATTTCTTCGCCGGCCTCGTTACTGTTATGGGCGACTTCGCCAGCGTGAGCGCGACCTATGCGACGCTCTACCCTGAGGCCGAGATCCTCGACGACGCGGGGAAGCCCACGGGCAAGAAGATCGCACGGACGTGCGAGGACCAGGTCGCGCTCACGGGCACGTTCACGTCCGGCGCGCTCATCTCGCTCCACTACCGCGGGGTCCCACCGACCGAACCCGGGCGCGTACCATTCGTGTGGACCATTGATGGAGAGGACGGAGCCATCACCGTTGAGGGCCCTTTGCCGTTCGTCCATATCTTTCATCCGACGAAGGTGCTGATCCAGGGCAAAGAGTGGGTGTCCGAGCAGAAGCTCGTCGACTGGACCGGTAACATTGAGGCGACGTGGGCGGAGATTGCGAAGGGCGACGAGGGCCGGTACTCGACGTTTGAGGATGCGGTGAGGGTGTACAAGGTGATTGATGCGGTCCGGAGGAGTGCGCGGGAGGGTGTGCGGGTGAACATCAACTAGAGCTTTCAGCGGAATGTGTGGGTTGTCTAGAAGCATCGCCAAAACTACGAATTATTTGTAAAACATTGTACTGCTAGAATCGCCAGAAATGTGACTTGATTGTGCTCGCCTGCGCATCCTGTTATCTCGTAAACAGATATCGTTTGATCCTGTGTCAGTGGTTGGTGACACCCGATTCACTGCTTTGCTCTGGTGAGATAGCTCATGCGGAATGCAAGAAGGAAAAGAAGTGAGACAACAAGTCCGGGGGACTGAAGAGGCAGTTTTGCGCAGTTTCGTGGGCTATATATCTATACTCGCGTGTCTAAGAGGTCGAGCACTGAGGAGCTGGGGCATCCTGCGATGAAAGTGTACGTTGCATATCTATCTATGACTTTGGTTCGCCCGTGATCCTCGGGCAGCATCTTCTCGTCTGAGAACTCTGCGACACCTTCAGCGTAATCAAAGAGAGCCTGTCACAGACAGGAATAGCACCTCTGTTCATGACACTGTGAGTTCGGTGACCGCGCACTTCCTGGCTCAGCAACACACATTGTTCTCACCGGCATCCTGGGCGACTTCGCCAGCGTGAGCGCCACCTATGCGACATTCTACCCCGAGGCCGAGATCCTCGACGACGCGGGGAAGCCCACGGGCAAGAAGATTGCACGGACGTGCGAGGACCAGGTCACGCTCACGGGCACGCTCACGTCCGGCGCGCCCGTCTCGCTCCACTTCTGCGGGGCCTCGTTGGACGATCCCAGGTGCGTACCGTTCGTGTGGACCATTGATGGCGGGGACGGAGCTATCAAGGTCGAGGGTCCCTTTTGTGTGGATCTGGCACCCGACGAAGGTGCTGATCAACGGCGAGGAGTGGGTGTGCGAGCAGAAGCTCGTCGACTGGACCGGTAACATTGAGGCGGCGTGGGCGGAGATTGCGAAGGGCGACGAGGGCCGGTACTCGACGTTTGAGGGTGCGATGAGGGTGTACAAGGTGATTGATGCGGTCCGGAGGAGTGCGCGGGAGGATGTGCGGGTGAACATTAACTAGAGCAATCGTGTGGGTCGCAACCGTCCCTCTGGATGCATTTCCAAAATTACAAATTATTTGCAAAACACTGTACTGCTAGATCGTTAGAAATTTGACTTGATTGTGCTTGCTTGCATATCCTGTTGACTCGTAAACAGATATCGTTTTATTGCTACAGTAGAATACTGACTATCTCATAATGCATAAAAATGAAAAATCATAAGGAAATTGTGATTTTTGTTATCCCTTCCAAAAGCCCGGTGGCCTTATACTT